CTGTTTATGTGGCAGAAGTTTTAGTACACCAATCACGTAGTTTGATCTTGGAAGGTTTATAATGAACATTAGCGTGAATTGTCATTTGAGCCTGTGCTCTATGCAAATGAACCTTCAGTTGTTTCAAAAGCCTTATCTCTGTTCATAATAGGCATGCACCACAACTTCAACTAGATTTTCTCTGGGTATAAACTTGGCTATTGAAGGAGAAGGACTACCATAAACCATCTTAATAGAATTTGCGGTACTTTGGAAGCTAGTATTCTGCCTAGACTTTTTGTTGCTCAGAACAAATATATCACAGATAAGTTTCCAAGGTCCTATTGTGGACCTCAGAATTGTTCATCTGATTGTTGGTGATAGGCGGTACTCATCCTTAATTTGGTATCCTGCAACCTGAATAACTACTGCCAAAACAAGCTAATAAAGTTTGGGTATCACTCACAATAGAACTAGACACTCCGTGCAAACCATATTTCAGCAACGGCCCAATTGTGGGTGTTTTACTAGGGTGAAAGGGCCATACTTAACCTATTGACTGCCATCTAGATAGTATCAAAACTCACAGATTTAGGTAGGCCTGCAATGAAATTCATACTAATATCGTCCTATATGGCATTGGGTATTGGTAAGAGCTGCAGTATCCCTTCCAGAGATGATGCCAAATACTTATTGCATTGACATACATGACAGGCTGGCGCATATTCTGTTACTGCCCCTTTAATACCTATACAATAAAGGGATTTTGCTAGTCTGCAGGAAGTGATACATTCCTGAATTTTGCTTGGTGGGTGAAGAATGAATTTCTTGTAGTAACTTAGGAATCCACTGGAATGTTGATTCCAACACTAATCTTCCTTTGTAGTACAGTCTGTTATGTTCCAAAGTATAATAGGGGTGCAGGTTTGGATCCTTGGTTAAATCATCCTTGATTTTGACAAAACTGCATTGAGATTAACCTCCTCGTCAATAGACGCCATCCTACCAAAAAGGTTTAGACATTACCTGCATCGCCTTGTCTTCTTCTTTCCTTGTCCACTGTCTGATTTGCTGCTCCCACTTTATAAACAACTTTAGGGTGTGGAGTGAAAAAAGTGAGAAGTGAGTTAAAACACATGTTGTCGGTTGCTTTTGTCAGTATATCCGAAATCTTCAATTATGAGCTTGCTATGGGGTAGCATGATGTGATATGGAGGAAGATCTCAGGGAGACAGGTGGAACAAGGGCTTAAGATTGTTGCAGAAACATGTTTTTGTTAACAAGGTTAAGTTTTTGTAATACTTTGCACTGATAATGAGATAAAAACCAGATAAATGCAATCACATAATGAGTTTGGATTGAATTCGGGGCTTTCAAAATGGACTTTCATACCTTCCAAAAGAGCAAATGGAGAAGCAACAATTAGTTAACTTTTTTTTTTCAGATGTACTGAAAGTTTTCTTTGTGCAAGTCTATCAAAAACGATTTCCTTTTACCTTGATACATTTTCAATCTATGTGAACATGAAAGTAAGAAAGTTGGAGAAATTCTCTGCTGAAAGAATCTATGTTCTAGAAGAAAAACTCTCAACCAGTTGTACCTTTTTATTCAAACAAACCCATGGTTTTGTCACTCATTAATTTATTCACATATCAAATTACATTCAATAATTTAAACCCAATTTTATTTTGTTTTCAACTTCCAAGAACTTGTTTAATTCACCAAGGGGAGAAGGATTACATTTTAGAATGGGGAACATGGAGTGACAAGGAGAGGTTCGGTATGTTTTTTAATAGAAAATCTGTTCGTAGAAAGGGAGAAATTTTCATGAAATGAGGAAAAAATAATCCTTTTCTCATTGGTTGTCCCAAGAAAAGGAAGATGTTAAACAATAATCTTTTTCCTCATTCTTTGATTTTAGAAGAAAAGATAACTAAATTACTTTTATCATATACTTAAAATATTGTAATTAACTTCACCTCTTTTCTCCTGATCAAGGGAACACACCATAGACGAGAAAGAATTTTGTTCTCCTAAAAATTGAACTAAACAAAAAGGTTTCAAAAAATCCCCTCTCCTCCCCCCTCCATTTTCTTCTATCACTGTAAGATTAACACACTAAAACATGTTTCCCATTATCAAATTCAATCTCAGTTTCAAATTATCAAATCTAGAGATTAATCTACGACAGACAAAATCTTGATGACCAATGGATAGTCAGTTCGGCATTTAAAGTAAGAACAGTCCAGATTAATGGAAGAATTTAGAGTGTATTTTGCCACCAAAAAATCTCTTTCCAAGACAACTAAAGAGAATACAGAGAATCACCTTAAAGTACATAACAAATAAAAACCATTACTTTTACACCAAGCTTAGCTTCTAACCTAATGAAGTTATATATACATGCTTCATCTTAAATGATCGCCATTAAAAGAGAAACGATTTGCAAGAGGAATCCCAACTGTGCTATTTGAATAGGGTCTTGAAACCTCATCACCAAATGGCATCTGTGGTGTTGCATTTTCATAGGATGGATTGATGGGAAACGTGGGATACGAGTATTTACTGGAAGAGAGTGGACCTCCGTTTGAGAAAGGATCAAAAGGGGACTCATTAGAACTAAATCTTGGCCCATTTTCCAAGTACCGGGTGGAAAGAGCTTGATCATCAGCAGACAGGCTCGACGTTGTGCCAGAGTAAGGAGGATAGGTTAAAAACTGACCATCAGAAGTTCTAGACATGGTTCCATTAAGATGATAGTTTGAACCAAATCCAGCAGTTGGATCACGGACATTGAATCTAGCAGTTGCTTCATCAGAAAAATCTGTTGGTAGTCTGAAGAGACCAGAACACCCAATAGGAATTTCAAATCTATCCTCATTTTTACTAACAGAAGGCAACGGTTAGCAGTGTACCCACCCTCTACTACTGCAATCTTATGAGTTCCTGTTGTGGGATATTCTCGCTTGTTAAGAGATTCAGAACACCATCGAATTTGTGAGATTGTTCGCGAGTAACTAATGCATAGAGATCCGTTTTGTTTTCTGAAGCATCATTTTGGTGGTGGACACCATGAATATCAGTTGGAAAGGAATGAGTAGGCCTGGGATCAGAATAACTATGCCTACCTGGATCTAGATGGCTCATATCAGAAGACGGAGAGTGGTCATTTACCAAGCTCTCATTCTGATTTCCCTTCAGTGGGGAGTGTGAGTTTTCTTGACCAAGCAAATCAGAAGTGCTAAAAGTTGCGCTTTTCTGGTTTCTGTAGCCATCTGTATCATCATGTGTTTCTGGCATAATTTCTGTGTCCCCAGCTTTGAATTTTTCTTCTGATAAGCAAACGCCTCTGGGTTCTCCTTTGCTCTCTTCAGCCTTTGAGGTAACCACCTTAGCAGCATATGGAATCTGAACCTTGCCTTCATCTTTATCCTCAGTCATATCTGACTGATTGCCCGGATCACATGAATCCTGAATAATTTAGGGTCCAAAACTAATTTTGAGACTTCAGGTGAATTTTACATGGAACGAGAAAGCAGTAAATAACCTATTTTGAATCATAAAATCATTAGATTGCCCAAGGTTACTGAACAAAAAATATTACATGAACTACTGTTATTACTTGTTTAATACAGTGGAAGCATACATATTAAAAAGGGGACATATAATAGACAACAAACACTCTACCTCAAACATTTTGATCAAACCGAGATTCATACATGTGTTTCATTCAATTTGTTCTCTACATCCTTTTGAAAGAAATGTCTTACATAGTTTTGCATGTGAGCTTACTTTAATTTTTTGATAAAAAACAGTTTTCCTATCTGTTAATTAATGAGTTACTTCACTACTTGTTTATGTTTGGTCGGAGAGGACAGGAAATTGAGAGGATGGTTAAGTTAAGTGTGTTGGGTGAGAGAAACCAGGGAAGAGAAAATTAAAAAGTGGTCTAAGCAACATTTTTCTACTCCATTTTTCACTCATTTTCAAGCTTCTCTCTATCCCTCTCCTCATTTGTTCTTTATTTCTCTTCAACCACAACACATTTAATTTTTTATTTTATTTCTCACTTACTTCTACTCATCAAATTTATTACCACCTACTCTATCTCTCCCTTCTCTACGAAACAGACCATAAATGACAACAAATACATTGGTAAAAATAAGAGATACAAGACTAATCTTGAACCCTCAGCATTAACTTTCGTTAAACATCCAAAGGAATATTCGGTCAAGAGCTTTATTCTAGTACTGCACTCTTTCTAATTAATTTGAATTTACAAAATATTTAATGTCAACTATAGCCACTAATTCTGTTTTAATGTCAAACTATGCCTAAAATCATTTCTACCTTCCTGCAATTGTCATAAATGCAACAACCAAACACCAATTTTCAAGAAAAAAATACTTAGAATATAGTAAGTATAGGTGAATCATACATACTGGTGTTGTGCTGTTATTCTCTCTAAATTTGTCCTCCCATTCTCTTTGAGCCTTCTCCATTGCTTCATATTGGTCAATAAGTTGGGCTTGGTGTTCAAGAGCCTTCTCCATTTCCTTCTCTCTTCCATATCCATCTATGCTACGATTTTTGCTAAGTAGGTTGGCCTCTGATCCATTCTCTTCTTGAATTTTAGATTCTATTTTCAGGATGTCAGATCCACCATCTTGGAAATTTGGAAATCCTTCAGAAGAGGATACAAGTTCATTTACTTGGCAGTTAACTTGGACAAACTTGTCTCTAGATTCCTCCATAACAGACCTGGGAAAACACAACATATTTATCAACTTCACAAGCACTTAGGAAGACAAGTGTTACAATAGAAGAAATATGTAATTACATTCAGGAGGTATTCATATATGAAAATTTGGAGCAGACAGGACAAGACTATCAAAAGTAAAATGACAAAACACTGTCAAGCAGAGAATTTATATGAGACACTTCCTCAAAAGATCTAAAACAAAAAGCAGGGATCAAGAATATCAAAAGAACACCAAGTTTTATAGGCACAGTTTTTCTAAAAATCAGTTCTCATGGTGAATAAGATATAAGGTAATAGGATTAATTGGTGTAGGATAGAAGGAAGAGTTAATATCCTAACTGCTAAAAGCAGTTAGGATGGGCGGGAAGTGACTTGTATAAATAGAGTTCTATTCTTTTGTTAGAGGGGAGTTTTTGAACCTTGTTTGTATAGACAGGCACCTTTGGTTCCTGTGGGGTAGGTTAGGCCGCCCATTTGATTGCTTTGTACTTGTATCTTACCAGTCTTGAATACAAGAAACCCATTCTTTTGTTATCCGTGTGTGAGTAGTGAGTGTGTGAGTGGTTGTCTGGTTTGGTTTCGTACCCAGAAACCTAACACATGGCATGACAGTATTGAGCAACCACAGGTATTATATAACCCTGGAAATTCGAAAGGCCCAAAGCCTATGAGTTGGAACCAAGTCTAAACTAGAAACAAGTAGATTTTTTGTTAATTGTCGGTTACCTCACATAGAGACAATAAGAACAAGCAGGAAAATAGCACTGTTATCTGTGGAACATAGTCACATAAATGGGAATAAAAACAAATTTGATCAGAAAGAAAGGTTATGACTTACCTGGGTTGTCGATGTCTTATCTTGCGACATGACTTTCCTAAATGGTGCTTTGGTGAAGAACTAAAAGATGAAAAACTGTTTTGCCTCCTCACATTAGTAGTCTTGATCTTGTACTTTTCAAGAGAATGGGACAAATCATGGCGTCCTTTCCATGACAAACTTTTACTGGATACTAGTGAAGAATCTACACTGGAACCAGACAGTTCATCTGACCCGTGTTGTCTTCCTTTTGAGTTCATAGGCCCATCATTCTCTTTTGAACAGTCATTGCTCATAGAATCAAAAGGGTTTTCAAGGTCTGAGCCTGAATCAAATTCATCAGATACACCATTTATCCCTTGATTCTCCAAAATGGCAAGAACATCAGCAGTGGCCTTCTCTGCCATCTTCCTCTGAAGAATCACCATCCTTAGTTGTTCCTCCAATTCCATGACCTGATTGAAATAGTGGAGAAAAATTTAGCGTCAAAAAGGGAGCATTAAAGGCCAGTTTGGGTACAAAGCTAGAAGAGCTTTTCAGAGCTTCTGTACTGAAAAAAAAAAACTCTATTTCTTGTAGAGAAGTTCTCAAAATACCCTTCTAACCTGTATCCAAATAGGCCCTAAAAAAGGACAGGCAGGCATATTTGACTACATAATATAGGAAACTTAAACTTAACATGCCTTTTTTGCCAGTTCATCAGCTCTCTGTCTAGCACTTTTTGAGATGAACCTTTCAGAAAAGCATCTTGCGCGCAGGAACTCAATAGTCATTGCAGTCGAATCCTCCGGACAGGAAGCATCCTAAGTGATACACATTTAATTAATACAGGTCAAAAAATATCTGATAGAGAAGAAAAATAAAAGAAATCTGATTGTAAATGCTAAGTCGGTAGTGAAAAATCCTAAATAACTATTCCTTATTTTATGATGACTAAATTTGGAGGGAGGAAGGACCTTCAAGGTGACTTGTTATAAACTTATATCCTTCCTTCCTTTACTTTCCTCTCAGTGCCTTGCCTTGTCACAATCTCTCTCTCTCTCTAGCCAAAGAAAAATAACAATGAAGTTCAATAACAAAATGAAAATAGAAGAAAAGCAGCCCCTCTCCCCTGCCAAAGAAAATGTCCACTTATTTTAAGATTGTTTTCCTTAAGGAAAAATGTCCTAAAATATGTTATACCCAGCAGTTAGCAAATAAAAAAGATGAATGTGGTACTTAAGTCATAAGACTCTCCCACCCAATAAACTAGCATTTTGGGGGATGATCTCTCTTCATGGACTTGTAATGCAAGAGCATATTAAAAGTAAATAATTATTAGCAGAGTTATCTTAAAATTTTTAAAGCTGGACTAGATATTGAATTAGTAAAATATCTGGTTCATGTTGGATGGTATACGCTGTTGAACAATGGTTGAACACTGTCTCATTTGTGTGTTATTCAGACAGAAGATGGATATATACATATACAGAGATACTTTTTCCACTTCACATATGGGCTTTATACTCTCTAAGCCATCAACCATAAGTTTGCGTCCAGTTTCAGCTGGGAAGTAAACTAGGTTTTGCTATTCCTCCTTGAACTTCTATTTCATCCCTTAAAGGAGATTGGGAAAAGATGCAAGACATGTTTTCCAGAACAAATAAGCTATGGGTTGAGAGGGGTAAGTGAGCAAAGTTACATAAGATCGGAATGGGCACAGGAACATGTACTGATGTACCAGATCAGCTAATGCTCCCAGGTATATGTAATGTATTCCACCCGTTTACTGAAACACTCTTATTATTTGGCATAAAGGTTGGTCACAGGAACGTTTGAAATGCGTGCACCAAGAACAAATCAGAAGAGATTAACACAGAGGTTTAAACAATGATCCCCACACCCCAAACTTGCCCCCAGATGGTCTTCATATTATATCTATATATATATATCTAATATATATATAAGCATGTATCAGATACGGGTAACTACTAGATTTAGTGATCATTTTAAGCTTTCTATCTAACAGTATCTGACAGTTTGTAACTAGCTGACCTTATGTAGGGTTACGTGTGAGACTGCAGAAAGAGAAAAAGAATAGATGGTGAGATGATCAGAACTGTGTCTATGGAGTACACAACGAATCCATTTTATAGACCTTATGACGATAAATACAAATAATTTATATATATTATATTCCTATATACAATGATTGACATACTATTAATCACATTCCAATAAATCTGATTCCAATCAGATATTCCTATAATTATAAAGATCTTAACTATCCATGGAAATAAAGCAAAGTATTAAACAAGAATAAATCCTAAGAGATTATCCAGGATGCTCTAAAATATTCTATGACAATGTCATTATATTTTCTAACAGAGACTTTAAGCTCTCATCATTCGAGACCTAGTTTCAACTTCTAATCAGAGCTTCTACTGCAGATTTGGATCTCTCTCCTTGACTACTTCACTTTCTTACATTTTCTCTGTTTCTTTCCTGCACATTTAGGATGAGTTGGATTCAACCAGACATTTTTTTAATAACTGGTCTCAAGCTATTTTAGGGCCAGTTAGGTGCTTTTTCAAATAAAATTGCTTGAAGTTAAAAAGACATATTTAAAGATCTATAAGTCAGAAGTTTTTCAAGTTTTTATTAAGTAAAACAAACAGCCCACCAATATTGTAGCTTAACGTAAAATGATAATGGTATAATTTAATAAATTTTTTTTTATTTTATACTCCACTGGCTTATTTGTACGTCCAAGGATTCCTAATGTGTTTAGGTTAAACGTAAGACTAAAAGGATTACATTTTGCAATTGGTAATGAGTAAGAGATAGACTGGAAAACATGTAACCTAGAAGGGCTTAGGTTGCACTATAAAAGAAAAACCTCAACAGTTGTACGGCAGACCTTTACCTTGAATCATAAATCCATAATTATAAATAACTTTATTTTCCCGGTTTCTTACATAAGAAACAGCCCATTCATTGGTTGTGTTTAATTTATCATCTCTTAATCCTTGAATCCTTGGCGAAACTCTATCTAGAAGCCTTGACTACATCAGCTTATGAGCCATGAAAGCTAGTACCTTTGCCGAGACCATAGAGTGGGCAAAGTGGGAGAGGCGGCTTAAAAGGACTATTCTGAGTGGTAGCTGAAGTTTGACCACTTGTGGATCCCAAATTGGAAAGGATATGTAACTTTATGTCCAAAACGAGAGAACATAACATGGTTTTTAAGCCGTGAGTCTCCCCCAGGCTAGTCTTCTGAGATTGCCTTTCCTTACAAATTTGAACCACAATAGACGTGTCCAGAAAATTGGGTTCAAACTTGAATTCCGAGGATAGATGAAGTCAATTAGTCCCAGAGTTCCAAAACTAACTTGAGGAATGAATTCCAGGGAAGAGGGCATTCTCACCCATGTGCAGGTAACAATTAACTACTCGCGAGCCAACAACACGAATGGAACTCCGACTATGACCTAGTTCCAGAATTAGAAGATTATAATTCTCAAAAACGGGACCAAATACGTCTCTATAGAGCAACCTCACACTTAGATTCACAAATCTCAAGTAGATCTTAAACTTTCTCTGGATTACTTCGAATAGTAAAAACATGTCCGGAGACCAAGTCCAGAAACTAAAAAATTATTGTCGGGTCCAACCAAACACAAAACAAACAAAACAATCCTGACGGGGTCAAATAACAATTATGATAAACAATAAATCATACAACAAAGGCACCAAACCACAACCGATGAACTAAAAACACGAAACCACTACGAAAATAGAAATACCATCGAACTCCTTCCCATGAAGTAAACAAGAAAAAACAAAAGCTAGAAAACTCCAAAAGCATCAAACACCACTCACAGCCGAAAACCAAAAAAATAAAGTCCAAGGCAAAGCAGTACAAATAAAGAGGGGAAAGACAAGGGAATTCGAAAATACCTCTGATCTTGCGGATCGAACACGGAGTTTTGCATGATCTTGGACAAACTAGGAAGTCTAACTGGTGGAGAAAAACCCCAGAAATATGAATTATAGAAGATTGTTAATATGGTGAAATTGAGAGTAATAGAAGAGAAAGTAGTTGTGAAGAGAGAGAGAGAGAGACGAAAGACGTTGTGGTGTGATGTAAGGCAGTGACGATCCCAGCAAGATGGTGGGGCAGCAATAGCAGGCAACGGATCTTTCTCGATCCTTCTTCTTCCCCCTCTCTCTCTCCTTTTCCTTTTCATTCTTCCTAATTAGGTGTTATTTCTGTTTCTATAATGATAATTTTTTATCTTATTTTTTTTAAGTGGTTTTCCTGAGTACTCACAGCTTCGTACCAATGTTATGTTTATTTTTATGTAATCAATTTTATAATAAAAATAAATAATTATAATTTTTAAAATATATTTTGAATTTAAAATCAACCAAATAAATGTCCTTAAAGAAAAATATATTTTCTTATAGAATAGAATAGATGATGAAAATTTTAAATAAAGTGGTTATATAATTATTTTTAAGAGGAAAGATTTTTCAATTACTATTTCTTATTAATATTAAATAATGTTTTTAATTTAGTAAAGAATAATTAATAACATTTTCATAATAAATTTTAAAATAAAATAGATATGAAGTTTACATACAAAAGTTAAATGTATATTTCTAAAGTTTATGCCTAACTCTTTGTTTGGGAAAAGTCTCTATATGTTTTCTAAAATCAAAAAGGAATTTGTTATTACAGTTTTGCTATCAAATTTAGATAGTCCAAAACCAGTGTACTGTGCCTTAGTTTAGCTATTGGATTTAAATTTTGGTGAGTTATTTTATCTATTTGAAGTTATTTTCTTCTTGGATAGATAGTCAATATGAGGTGTAGAATGAAAAATTAGAATCTTGCTTTCATTGGTTGAATTTTCAAGTGATTCTCCCTTGCTGTATAAGAACTTGTTTTAATTTATATAACACTAGCTAATAACCCTTATGAGATAATTATTATTTTTGTGTTGTATAAGATATAGGATAATTTAAATGAAGTACATTATGAGAATGATAAACTATAATGAATTAATGAAACTGATGAGTAAATTATATGAAATTTTGAAGAGATTTTATATAGAAAGTGTTATATTTGTTTTTCTTATATATAATTTTTTGGGTTGTTGTTGAGGTAATGAGATATAAGACTTGTTGGAGTGGAAAGAAACCTTATAAAATGTTTGTTTTGGATTATTGGAGTTGGTTTTGGGTTAAATATCATTTGTTGAGGCATGTGCAAGTGGTGTGCAAATTGCATTAGACCTTTTATGTTGGTCAAGTAATGTGAAATATAACCTTGGTTTGTAGTTTGAGTAAGAAAGGTGATGAAACAATTATTTTTTTCTTTAGAAGTATAACACTGGGTGTTTGATAAAACTCTTCTGTGATACTATTGGTATAATCATTTTATCAAGAGGTGATGATATATGTACATATACTTAACCAGAAGGTGAGGATATATGTACATATGGTTGGACCGAAAGTCATGTATCCTATGATGGTGAAGGAATTTTTGGAGATAGTTGAATTTCTTTTTATAGGTGACTCACTCAAAATGTTGATCATAAAAAATTCAAGTGACTTACGTTCATGCAAATGGATAGAGCGAAAAAATAAAATGAAGTGTGTTACTCCCCAAGTTTGATTTTTACTCAAAATTAAATACAATGAGTATTATCTGTTTACAAATGATGATGTTGTTTAAGTGAGAAAAATTCACTCAAGTAATAACATGTTAAGATGATGTTATGTGACGTGTCATTTAATGCTTTTATACATATTAATTGATGGTTTAATGTATAAAATGTGAGATTAATTATATATATATATTATGGATGTATATGTAATTGATGTTAAGATGTATCTCATGTCCTTTTTGGGTGAGTTTGATGGACGATGAATGAAGTTGAAAACTTATATACATGTATATTGTTAGAATATTATAAGTCTTACTTGTTATTGTAGTCAGTAGGCTAAAATAGAGGGTAGTGTGTTGGGTTATCTCCTAATCATTGTACCTAGCAGTCTCAGGACGTGAATTGACCCTTCTATCTCTCTATTGTATCAACTCTTTATCTATATAAAAACAGAACATGAGAGTTGTCTTTCAAGCCCTCAAGAGCATATTTTTATCTCAAGTTATATGAAGTGATATATGTGTATATAATGTTTGTTCTTTGATGGGTGACCATAATGGGTGATATAAGGATATATAAGACGGTATCATGTCCTAGGCTGTGATAAGCACATGACTCACGTTATTAAGTCAACTAATATATGGTGAGTGTTCATACATGTTATGTTCTAACATCTTTAAAAATGGTCATCAATTTGACTTTTGGAATAGTTCTCATAGTTATATCATGACATGATGTGTGTGATTATATATGAATTTGCTAAAATGATGGTATTATTGAAGTGGATTAGGGCTAACTTCTAAAATATTCAATAGATTTAATACTTTTGGTGATTGTGTCTGAGGAGTGTTGTGGTGTGTTAGAATTTGCTATGTTGATATTATGATCAACCACAATAATAAAAGTAGAATACCATTGTTTATACGATATCAATCCCATACTATTTTTCCACAAACAGACTAAACAAGTTAAAGCTCATGATTGGTGAATTCCATCTAATATTATGGGAGATGAGGAGTGTGGGGGGGGTAGGGCTACGTGAGTAGGTAGGTGCAGCTAGACAGTGGTAGGAAGTATAATGAGGACGGAAAGTTTGCATAGTAAAGAGTCATTGTGAACACACTGGACTGCTTATAATAGCGTGTGTAAATATTTTTAATAATTATTAGCTAGGGAACAGTTAAATACAACTATGAATAACTTTAGTATAATTTGTTATAACTATATACATAAATTGTGTTATTATGAATAATTTATTTAAAATACGAAAAAGAGTACATACACATTTAAATAATTATGAAAATTAATTATTATGGATTATCAATTTTTTTCTATGTTATCATATATAATTCCAATAAATAAACTGATAATCGCTGTGTGTACGGGGGGTTTGTGTAATTTCTGATGTATTAGGCAATGTTGGGGGCAATTATGTAATACGACATAATTCCGTTTTATTTATTCTATAATTATATATTAATTTATATTAACTACATAATATTGTTTATATATTATAACAGGGAAAACCGTCGTGGTGAAGGGGTGGGAGGGTTTTAGAAGAGAAATTATGATATTTAAAACTATTATGAAACGCGTGCGGATAGTTTTTGATTAATGGGTGAATATACTAGTGGAAACTAAAAGAGTTTTGTTATGGTGATTGTGTAAAATATTAGAAAACAAATAGGGTAAGTTGTTATGTTCGGACTCGTGCGGAGGTTCATGTGAGTCAGTAGATAGGCAACAAAGGGAAAAAGAATGGTTAAAGAGTGACCACAATCGGGAGCAAAGTTGGATGATGGATCAGACAATTCACAAGGGCCGTATAATTTTTTGAAAAGCCTGAGCAGTCAAGTTTGCAATCTACATGATATTTCTCTTTTTTTTTTTCAACTATTTTGTTAGTTTTTTTTGTTTTCTTAGGTTCTTTTTCTAGTACATTATCTTCTATCTTCCATGGAGGTAAAATAAGGAATTACTTTGAATCCCCTGTACTTATTGATCTAATATATTATCATTTTGTTAATTACTTCACTCATACCCTGTCATCAATTAAACTTAAAAGAAACACAGTGCAGTGGTTTGATCTTGATTTGTATTGCTACATCACAAACCTTTGATTTGAACAGAAGGTATTACAAACTAAACAGGAGAAAAATGTATTATTGGGTTAGTGCTAATCCTTCGGATTTCGCCGGAACCCCTCCCCAACGTCGCAGGTGATGAACTGATTCATTATGTCGCTATTCTGTTTGTTGTTGCTTTCTTTTCAGTAATCTCAGTTTGTTTCATTCTGTTAGTGGTCACTCCGCTGTTAATATTGGGAAATCTAAGGTTGTCATGTTCGGAGGCCTTGTCGACAAGAAGTTTCTCAGCGACATCGCTGTCTATGATATTGGTAATGTAATCCCTTTTCTTATTTGTAGTTGTTTTTCATTAAAATTGAAGAGTTTAATTTTATGCAAATTGTTTGTATAAAAGTTTTACACACTCTCCATAATCAGAAATTATAGCTGACTTGACTTTGACTTTCACGTAATTTATCATAGTGATTTGTAGTTGTGGTTCGATGAACGTTGACACAAAATTGAACTCTCCATTCATTTAACATATTTTAGAGGCCAAGCAATGGTTTCAGCCTGAGTGCACTGGGAGTGGTTCAGATGGGCATGTAGTTCCCCAGCCCTCGGCTTATCTATGTGCTGTTATCCATTGAATGTCACAGTGTTCCATGTAGACGAACAGGGGCTATCCGAATACGAGGGTGGAAAAAAAAAAAAGAAGGGGTGAGACAAAAAAAAAACAAGACGAAGGAAAAAAAAAAGTGATGGGGGGAAAAGAATCTTGAAGAAAACAACGTCGAGCCAACGGTCTAATTAAAGAAAAGGTGCAACAGTGCGCGACTCCTTCGTCTCACTCCCGAATTCAACCCTAGGGGGCCATGGGGGGGCTTTGTGGGGAATAGTTTTTTGGTGGTCGTCTTGGAAGTCAGAGGTCTGTGTTGCATCTCGGTGTTTTGTTTCTTTCATTACTATAATGTATGGTATAATTGGTGGTTTTGAATTTTACAGGTTGGGGGACTTTTGGGTTTTGGATACTGGTATGTATGACATTTTGTGTGGTCATTGTTGAGTTCATGTTGTGAGGGAACTTTCTGACATTTTTGGGACTTATGCTGTTTTGACATGCTGACACTTGGAATGAATGATGCTACTCCAGACATATGGCAATGGTCTGAACTAACTGGATTTGGAGACTTGCCATCTCCTCGGGATTTTGCAGCAGCTTCAGCTGTTGGAAACCGAAAAATTATTATGTGAGATATAGTGTTTAATTTGACATTTTCTTTATGCAAATTAGATTGAGTTGGAGTAAATCAAAACATGTAATGAGGTGGATTCTTTTTGATTCAGGTATGGTGGATGGGACGGAAAGAAATGGCTATCTGATGTTTATGTCTTGGACACTAGTATTTTTCTAATACTAATTTTTATCACTTATTGTGTAATTACCTCATTATTCAGTTGTAACCAAGTATAACATCATTTTCTTCCTCTCTTAGTTTCGCTTGAATGGATGGAGCTATCAGTTTCTGGAACATTGCCACAGCCCCAGATTGGGCCATACCTGCCACTATGGGTTGAAAAAACGATTGCTTGTATACGGTGGAAGAGGTGAAGTGACACAGTTCTACTTGTTCAGATGTTGATCTGATATTGAGATTATAGTCCTTTTATTTAAATAGAAAGAACGTATTCCAGTGTTTACTAGGCAATTCCCGTGTGTCAAGTATTTTATCAGGAGAATATTTATTCTTTTCTCTATCTGTTGTTTCTTTTTATATATTTATGGGTTTCAAGGTTAAATAGAAGAGTGTCTTAATTTCTCAAACAATGATCAATTTGTGCCATTTGGTGCATTTCCTCACTTTCACTATCATTTCAGTTTTAGGAAGTAGTTTTAATATAATAGTCTGGGAGCAAAGTTTAGCTCTGCATTTTTGGTTTAAATTTAGGGGCAAGATTGGTGAAATTTAAAATTAGCATGATGGTCATGAAGCAATATTGGAAGATACTCAAATTTTTTTTAATGAAACTAATAAAATTGAACTCGGTCAAGTGTTAGTTAATTTTCTATATCAAAGATGCACTGTTATTGGATTGCTAAACTGCATAAAACTTATCTAGAAACCCATTATAGTCTATTCCTTTCACTGACACACATTAATGTTAGACTTTAGTTTTTTTGAATGTGGAAACTTCTTCTTGTCTAACTTGCATTAAATAAATAACTGCTCTGAATTGATGAAAAGGGCATACATATTGATTGCTGTAATGCCAATTTGGATTTATTATCTGAAATGAGTGCTATATCCTGACTTTAACAGGAGGAGGCGGACCAATTATGGGTGATTTATGGGCTTTGAAGGGTCTAATTGAAGAAGGTATGCATAATTTATCATCTTTATAATTGAATTATGTATGATGATTTTTTTTTTTCATTGCTTGCTGCTAGTTGTTATTATCACGTATTTCCTTTGCTTCAGGTCAGGTGCTGTAGCTTCCTTTCCTGTGAGATTTGTGCATTTTATTCTAGTTTGGATCTATATCTTTATTTTGCAATTGTCATACCAACATTTCCCTTCTTTCATGTCTATTAATAGAAAGAAGAGAGAGGATTTTCTGTGTGCTCATTTAACACAACAAGACTATTCTANAATTTACACAACAAAGACTATTCTATGTGATAGGTGTTATAAATACAAGTTTTATGGTTACATAATATCTTAAACATACAATTACCTTTTTCACATTATTTGCTTAAGATATGTGGAAGACAGGATGAGTCTGAGCTTGCTGTGGTAATTGTAATTTGAAAGCCACTTCTCCTATTTGCTTAAGAACCAAATATGGTCCATAGTAACCTGCTGAAAGTTTGGGATGAGGCTTATCAGACATAGAACTCTGTTTATGTGGCAGAAGTTTTAGTACACCAATCACGTAGTTTGATCTTGGAAGGTTTATAATGAACATTAGCGTGAATTGTCATTTGAGCCTGTGCTCTATGCAAATGAACCTTCAGTTGTTTCAAAAGCCTTATCTCTGTTCATAATAGGCATGCACCACGACTTCAACTAGATTTTCTCTGGGTATAAACTTGGCTATTGAAGGAGAAGGACTACCATAAACCATCTTAATAGAATTTGCGGTACTTTGGAAGCTAGTATTCTGCCTAGACTTTTTGTTGCTCAGAACAAATATATCACAGATAAGTTTCCAAGGTCCTATTGTGGACCTCAGAATTGTTCATCTGATTGTTGGTGATAGGCGGTACTCATCCTTAATTTGGTATCCTGCAACCTGAATAACTACTGCCAAAACAAGCTCATAAAGTTTGGGTATCACTCACAATAGAACTAGACACTCCGTGCAAACCATATTTCAGCAACGGCCCAATTGTGGGTGTTTTACTAGGGTGAAAGGGCCATACTTAACCTATTGACTGCCATCTAGATAGTATCAAAACTCACAGATTTAGGTAGGCCTGCAATGAAATTCATACTAATATCGTCCTATATGGCATTGGGTATTGGTAAGAGCTGCAGTATCCCTTCCAGAGATGATGCCAAATACTTATTGCATTGACATACATGACAGGCTGGCGCATATTCTGTTACTGCCCCTTTAATACCTATACAATAAAGGGATTTTGCTAGTCTGCAGGAAGTGATACATTCCTGAATTTTGCTTGGTGGGTGAAGAATGAATTTCTTGTAGTAACTTAGGAATCCACTGGAATGTTGATTCCAACACTAATCTTCCTTTGTAGTACAGTCTGTTATGTTCCAAAGTATAATAGGGGTGCAGGTTTGGATCCTTGGTTAAATCATCCTTGATTTTGACAAAACTGCATTGAGATTAACCTCCTCGTCAATAGACGCCATCCTACCAAAAAGGTTTAGACATTACCTGCATCGCCTTGTCTTCTTCTTTCCTTGTCCACTGTCTGATTTGCTGCTCCCACTTTATAAACAATATCTAATTCATACTTAATAACTTTGCTAGTCAGTTTTGTTGATTTTGAGCTGTGATCCATTGTTCTAACAAGTTGCTTAATCTTTTTTGATTTGTATACTCAGTGAATTTCTGTCCTAACAAATAAGGATGCCAATGCTGAATAGCTAAGATCAGAGCCATGGCTGTTTTTTATATATAGATTTGGTGAGAGTTGTGATTGCTGAGGTTTTGCCGAAATAAGCTATGGGTCTTTTGTCTTGGAACAAAACTGCCCCTAATCCCTTGCCTGAAGAATCACATCTATGGAAAAATGCTTAGAGAAACCAGACATCACTAAAACTAGAGCAGTAGTAACAACTTTTTGTATCAATCTAAAGTCTTGAGTCCACTCAATTTATTTTCTTTAGTAAAGCTTTCAAAGGTCTGGCTGTCTTGCCATGATTTTGTATAAAGCATTGATAATAACATGCTGTCTTGCCATAACTTTGTATAAAGCATTGATAATAACATGTTAGTCCCAGAAAAATCTTTCATGGCTCTACTAGTCTTGGGAATAGGCCACTATAATATAGCTTCAATCCATTTTGGGGGGTCCATGGAAATTCCCTGCTGTGAAATAACATGACCCAAATGACCCAAATTGTTACGTACCTGAGTACGTAAACTAGCCAAATACAACCTTTCACACTCTCACACACGTAACAGAACAATAAACGAATGACAATGGATGAATGAATCTCTTTTATTGATGGTAATATCTGGGTGAACACAAGTAAACAATAACTGGAAGCATAACCTCCTTCAGTCAACCAATAATTGGGAGCATGACCTCCGTCAATTATCCTGGAGCATAACCTCCTTTACAAAAACTCAATAATCAAAAGCCTCTCTTTAACCCTAGACTCTAACTTTATTTATACTAATTAATTCCCGCACATCTCTTATTAAATATTTCCCTAGAATATATCTGCATTTAATATAAATATCCCTATATATTATCCTAGCATATATCCTTAATTATAAATATCTTATATGGAATATTTCCCTGAATATATATTTATTTACTCTAGTTAATTTATACTGAATATTCTCTCTGCTTCCCATTGTTCGGCCTGGTTGCTCCCCGCCTCCCACCGTTCGGCCTGGTCGCTCCCCGTTGTCCACTGTTCGGCCTAACCTCTCCATGCCTCCCACCGTTCGGCCTAACCTCTCCATGCCTCCCACCGTTCGGCCTAACCTCTCCATGCCTTCCACCGTTCGGCCTTTACGGTCAATACCGTTCGGCCTCACTTCCCCTTTTGTCCACCGTTCGGCCTAACCTCTCCATGCCTTCCATCGTTCGGCCTTTACGGTCAATACCGTTCGGCCTCTTCTCCTTCTCATTACCTCCCACCTTATACCCTAACACAAATCTTCCACACTCCCGTTCTGTCTTATTTCTGCCAATCTCTCAAATATTGTGCTTCTCCCTTTGCCTCCAAATATCCTTAGCAGTTCTGTTGCAAGATCTTCCCAAAAAGAGTTCTTTGACTTTGTTGCCAAAATTTGAACCAATGGCTAGAATTTGACTAGGCATAATTTTTTTGATCCCTTGACGTTTTGAACATGGAAAGGGATTCTTAGTTATTGCTTTCAAACCTCCTATAATAAACCTGCAATCCTGTCTTATTGTCAACATGCTGTGTTTGCTTCTGTATCAGATAGCTTCTTAATAAGATGGGTTATGTACTTATAATGGACATATAATTTCTTTCTCGTCTTTAATACAATTTCTTATATTAAGAAATATTTATTTCTTGGTAGCTTCTGAATAAGATGGGTTATGTACTTACAATGTGTATTTGTTATGGAGGAAAGAGAATGAAGCACCTGGATGGACTCAATTAAAGCTTCCAGGTCAAGCACCTTCTCCCCGATGTGGCCATACAGTTACGTCTGGAGGACATTATGTAATCTCATTTGCAAAATCCCTCTCTTTCTAGTTCTGCTATTTTTGTAGTTTGCTTTCGTTTTTAATATTTACTGCTAAACATGGATTTCTGTACAGTTCACACTTTATCCTGTAGTGGAATGATCTACATTTAAATATCATTATCATTATTCTTTTTTATGGTGTGTTAGATGTTGAAAAGATTGGAAATTCTGTGTATTTGAGAGTTGAAGGCTAGCAGCTTCCTTTTGAAATTAATGGTATTTAAAGGGAGGTATTTCAAGAACATGATGGAGATTGTGGACTAACTCTTTAGTGGTAGGATTTTAGAATTCTCTCAACTACTTCTTCTAGTTATGGATATACCGGGAATGTGATCGTCTCCCAGTGTTTTCTGCCTTACCTTGTTAGTTTAAGGTAGAATGTTCACTAGAAGGGGCTTTGGTTGCTGAATAGCCCTGGTGACCAGCGAACACTTTGATTGTTGGTCTAGGTTACTTAAGTTTAAAGAGCTGCATGAACTTGGTTATTTCCAAGGGATATAAGATTTCCTTTATATGATACTAGGAAGTTGGTTATCTTTGTTCTCCTTTTTCAACTTTCCTTAGTCATAAATTGTCTGCCTTAATTGTCTTGTGACTTTCTCTTAGATTCATATGTGTTCTCTTGTTCAAGAGTATCACATGTTCGCTTTTAATAAAGTTTAACCAGTCAGAAAGAAGTTTATGTTTATAAACTTGAATTATAAGATCAAATAATATTACATTATGGTTGATGTCATCAAATAATTTTTTATACTGTTGTGATTCCCCTTTCCTCTCTAAATTCTTTAATACGTCTTAATCCCTAGTCAGAATTGCATAGATTTACTGTTTTAACCTGAAATCCTGTCATTTATTTACTTCTTTTATTTTTGTTGGAGAGGATTTTACAGTTGTTGATGTTTGGAGGACATGGGACTGGTGGATGGTTGAGTCGTTATGATATCTATTACAATGACTGCATTATATTAGACAGAGGTGACAACTTTCACTATACCTGTCAGTGTATCTATCACACTTTTTGTATCATTAACCATTATAACTGTTGTCTGTCAATCTATTTTGTTAAAGCTAACTTGTTAATGATCTCTGGCATCCTTGCACATACATTTCTGACATGCAAAATACGGTTGCGGATTTGACTAATTTTGAGGGAGAAAAACAGATTATGTATGTTAGTTGCATGAGGGAGTCTTTGTTATTTTCATTTTGTGTCCGTGGAAATCAAAGACTCTGGTTCCTGTTCAGTAGTCTAATTTTATGAAGTTAACCTGGTTATCCAAGGAAAATTCGATGCAGTTTTGTTGTTTTTTTTATTTATTCTATTTTTGAATATCACTTTGTAAGCATTAAAACTAAATTTTATCAAATAAATATTTGGCTCTCTTCTCAATAATCCAGCATCCCTTGTGTTTTTTGCTCTATAATAGATTAAACATTCTCACATAACTTACATTTCATCTTTATGATGTGAGCTTCGTGAATCTTCTCGTGTTGGAGAGTTACAAACCTATCATTTATTGTTGTTGGAACCTTAATGATACTCCGTGAAACATTTTACATTCTTGCTCAAATACTAGTTTTCGTTATTAGGTTTTGGATGAGTACATTATTTTTAGAAAGAAGCAATAAGCTAATGATGCACAATAATGTCCTTGAATGCAAATTCAGTGTATTTACATGTTACTTTAATTTTTTTTGAAGTGGCTTGTCAGTAAACTATGATATTCAAATGCATGATTTTTGAGTCAAATCATAAATGGCACTTTTTTATTTTTAATTTAAACTATGACAAAGTCCTGCACAAAATCAATGTTTGGTGGCATATACTAAATTCAATTATTTGGTGTGTTTGGTTGCAACAGTTTCAGCACAGTGGAAACGGCTCTCCATAGGCAGTGAACCCCCTCCTGCTAGAGCGTACCACTCTATGTCAGTTGTTGGATCACGGTATTTGCTAATTGGTGGTTTTGATGGGAAAACGACTTATGGTGATCCATGGTGGTTAGTCCCTCAAGGTATTCATTGTTCTATCATGATCTACAACTCTATTGCTTTTGTTGTCAAATACTCCTTTTTCAATTGTAGATATTTTCACTGAAAAGAAGGTAATTAATTTTTTTGTTTGTTTGCCAATGAGTTCTTTCTTGGAGTACTGTTTTTAAGTTGAATGGAAGGAATATTCTATTCTTTGAACTTTCTATTTTCTTGTACTGTGATTTAATACTCAATCCAGAATCTTCCTCTCTATAAATGTTGTTTTTTTAATGGAGATGTTTTATTAGAAAGCTGAAACCTTTCAACCTTAGATGAAAAGGGTAAAAAGAACCTAACTGTTCATAGGCTAAAAGTGGCATCCTAAACTCTCACTTCTTTTGCATGTTTCACAGAGGATCCAATTGCAAATAGATTAACTGCATCTCCACCCAGAAATATTCCTGAAAGTAAGGAATTTGCTTTCAACGATGATTTTCAACCTCAACTAAAGGTATTGGTTAATCTTGTTTTGTTTGCAGACATCTCACTTTGCGATCCATCCCATATTTGTCTTAACTAGTGAGTTTTTTTGTTTTTTAAAAAAATGTGTTTAAGATAGAAAAAAATGTCTTAACTTCTCGGTGCTTTTGTTTGTTCTTAATATTTCTTTTAATTTAAAGACTGTTCATAATTTCAGTTAAAGAAAAAAATTAGTAGATAATACTAGCTTACTAAGCATTTCTGTTGATATATAGTGGAGCATTGTTGTAGTCAATTCTCACCAGTCACTTCTCTAGGTTACTAAATGCTTAAGTTTGCTACTGTGCTATCTCAGTATCAAGACTTTTGAGTTCTTATCTGTTGTTTTTAATCTTTAAAGTGGTTTTCATTTAACATAGTGTTTCAAATCACAATCTTTTCTTATTTTGATTTTGTTTAAATAACAAATCACTTAGGAAAGAATAGAATCGTAGAATCAGGAATTTTCCTACAATGAAAAAATAGATGAAAGAAAGACACCGGAAAATTTAAATGAGTCAACTCACAGAGCAACCTAGTCTTCACAAATATGAAATAGAAACATCCTTAAAAAAAATCCATGACCAGGATCGCATAATGAGGCTGAGGCAAGCCTATCCATTTTCCAATAAAAGTTATGGAGGAGAGCATTATTATGTTTGAAAACACACTTCCATTGACAGAGCACAATGTGCGAAAAATGTATAAGTGCTTCTTTCTAGCTGGGCTGCCTCTAATTCTTTATTGAAATGTATTCTACGTTCAGTCATAAGTATTCATATCTGTACTAAACCAAAAAAACAGCCTAGCTAATTTGTAATTGTGATGCTAAAAGGAAGGAAACAGTTATGACAAATTGATAACAAACTAATTACATACTTGGATTTGGGTCTTGGACTCTTGGTGGTTAAGGTTTTTGTGAAAAATTAAATTTAAAAAAATGGGGAGATAGTGGGGACCAACGAAGATGAATATGAAAGCAGATGTTGATAAAGACAAATCTGTTACGTACCTGAGTTTGGGCCGTAACCAGTAGACTCACTCACACACTCGCACAGATAAGGAACACTGGAAATTTACTGACTATACCGCTGTTATTGAATAGAAAATACTGCACCAAAGATAACAACCAATAACTGGGAGCAGGATCTCCGTCAGTTACCTGAGAGCATAGCCTCTCTTACAAATCTCACACATAAAAACATATCTTTAATCCTAGACTCTAACTTTATTTATACTAATCACTCTCTCCCGAAAAGGTAAAGAATCATAGTAATTATGCCTATTTATTAAGATTATCGGGTAAGAATATCTTCACCCTTATTTACTATATTTAATTTATATTTAATAATATCCTGAGATACGCCCTTAAATTCTAATAAATTTTCCGCCCATCCTAACTGCTGTGTCAGTTAGGATGCTCCTCGCTGCTCCCCACCGTTTGGCCCTCTATCCCTCTTCCTTCTACCGCTCGGTTAAGTCTCTCTCCCCCTTCTATCATCTGGACCGCTCGTT